GCGCGCGTGCGGCGTGTGGTGGGGGGGGGGGGGGGAATCTTGAGCTGCCCTACTGCAAGGTATGCGGCTGCAGTCCCACTCACAGCAGACAACTTAAATAACAAACGAGGAATTAAAAAAAAAAACCAAACTATCTTTAATATCTCCAAAATCCCATTTAGAAGCAGTTTCATAGAAACATCACTTTTATCGTGCAATCAAGGCTGGAGGAGGGCAGCAGCAGGAGGGAGAACCAGACGCCGTGTCGCCGTGGGCAGACGTGGAATTCGGCCCCCCGAGTCCTCAGAAATTCTCCAGCAGATCCAGGATCCGCTTCTGCTCGCTCTCCCGAAACTCCTGGTTCTTCCCATCCCCGATGTTCTCTGCGTACTCTGCGGGGGAGAAAGCAGACAACAGGCTTTGAGTGAGATACTGATGACCGCTGGGCAACGTCTCGTGCGGATACCACAGCAGAATCTAAATCTGCAGCCACTGCAAACAACGGAATGGGAATTTATGCAAGGAGCATTGATGGTTTTTCTCCCCATCCCCAGGGTTAAAGCTTTGCATAATAAACATCTACTGACCCCTCATTAAAACCTTCTGTGGCGAACAGAGACCGTAGCAGGAACAGCCTAAGGAACTAAGCAGCACAACAAGCCCGAGCAGGCCCTAGCACCCGGAGGCAGCACCCGTTCCAGGCGTCTGAGCATCTAGAAGGGCGACAGGCCAGGAGTTCCTCCCAACTCCTCTGTCATCCCAGCGGAGCAGCCCACTGGCAGCTGCCTGAACTGGACGGTCGGATCGCTGGCCTCCCTCAGTCCAAGAAATTCAACACAGTCCTGGACAAGACCGGCTCTCCAGGTCCCTTTTAATGCTGAGCATCATCAGGGAAGGTCAGGCGGCGGCTGTTACCCGACTGTTAAACATTCCTAACCCTGGGTTTAACCTGTCTGTTGGCCAAGCAGCCTGAATGAGGATTTTTGTCAAGTGGAGACCAATTCCCCAATCTACAAGGGCTTTTAACCCACATGGAAGAAAACACGCCAGTTCAGATTTAACTGCAAACGAACTCCTTGTCTTCAGGCAGAGGACACCAGACCCTGATCAAGGTCTTGCCCATCCATGCACACAGCCAAACAGCGTGGACCCAAAAGCCTCCTCCGCAGCTCTCCTTCCTGACATTCATTTAAAGCTGGCAGCTCTCATCCCCGTACCAGCTCCCTCCTTCCTGCCACTACAACCTGCATATTCAAAGGTGGTTTAAAAAGAAAAAATGAAAAGCAGGTTCTGAGCTGCGAAAGCAAGGAGCTGAACAAATCTTGGTAAATCAGGAGCAGACTGCCTGGTTAGACAGTGTTTTCCAGCCTCCGCCTTCTCGCATTCTTTCCCTTCTTCCTAAACAAACAGAACAGCTTGTATGCAGCATCTGAATGGTAAGTTGCTGTAGAAAGTTTGCTTTAATATTTATACGTTCAGCACTGCTACATGCTTCTGAGCTCCATCAAAGCCTTTATTGTAAGAGCACTGAAAAGAGTGAGGACAGGGAGAAGTTCGCTGATGTGGGAGTCTTCCCTCCTGCGTGCACTCTCTCTCTCCATGTACAAGAAGCAGAGCTCTTTGCCAAGGCCTCTGGGAGAAGTCTTTTTAATATTTATAACCTGCTACAGTACCTGTAACAAGAGCAGGCGGGTAACACTGAGGTTTGCTGCAAGTGAACCTGACCTCCTCGCTGTCCTGGAGAAGGGGACCAGCACCGGGAACTCTTCCCTCAGCTGGAGGAGAAACTCTCCGTCACACTTAACGAAGACAGCAGCAAACGAATAGATTTGTTGTAGCTCCCTACGTATCGGCTAATTGCCTACGGGCAAGGCCCCAGCAGCCCGGCGTCAGCTCTGCTGCCGTTTGCGCGCCTTAGCAAAGGGCTGCACCTCAGCCTGGGGATCAAAAACCACCACCCGCTTCTGGCAGGAGACAAACCCCGCTGCGGCGGCGACGGGCTTACCTGCCCGGGAGAAAGCGGCAGCTAAGGCCAGCGTTTAGCTCAGCTTCTCCTGTCCCCTTCGGGCAGTACCAGAGCTTTCTGTCAGCAGCCGCCAGGGAGCTCGGAGGAGCAGGCTCTGTCCCCGGCAAGCCCCTTCCGTGCTTTGTCAGAGCACGGGCCTCTGAAACAGATGCAGCAACTGCAACTGCCTGTGTTTATTGCAGCCCAAGGGCGACGCTTCCCCGCCTGCCGCTGCCTCTCGACCGCTCAGGATAGCCACGCGAGGGACGGACGCTGTCTCGGAGCCTGGCACAGCGCTGGGGCAGCCCGGGCCGGCCCCGGCCGCAGGCAGAGCTCTGCGCTCGCAGCGTCCGCGCCGCAGGCAGCGGGCTCGTGGCCCAGCTCCAGTTTTAGCTTTAAGGACTGCCAGAATACCTGAACATACAACTCAAGCAGGGCAACTGCCGAGTGCCACTAATGACACTGCCCTTCTATTGTCCCAGCGAGATCACTCGGACAAAAGCAAGCCACAAATTCCTCTAATCTCGCCCAAAAGCTCAGCATTTTTCCTTCTAAATACTTAGGCTTCGTAAGACTAAAATCCCAGTGACTCTGAAGGCAGACTGTTCACTGGGTTACCAACAGTTGCTAATGTTCATTTGAAGAGACCAGATAAAACCCCCAGAACCAGGCTTAAAAAAAAAAAAATCTCCCACCGAGGTTTTATGTATTTACTTTTTTATTTAAAATTCCAACACTTGAGTGAGATGGCAAAAAAATCAAATGTAAGCTCCCCCTGCCAACAGTTAAACAGAGCTTGCACATTGCTGTAGCTACACAAAGGGAAAGGACCTAAGATTGGTTTCTGCTTCATTAGACAAAATACAATGGTTACAGAACAGTAAAAATCAATAGGGAAATATTGAAGCTTGTAATGGATATTGGAAGCTATAAAGCCTGCACATACTGAGGGACCACAGGCCAGATTTAGCACAGTCCTCATAACATACCTACATTTTCTTTTTGATTACCCATGCTAACAGGTTTGGTTTGTAACATCCAAGAGGCATTCCACCTTGCCGGCTGCCTGATGTGCCCAGTACCTTCACTGAAACCAGAAGTCCAAGCAGGCATTGCCTGTCAGCACCTCTGGGGAGGGCCCTCTGCACCCCAGGTCCTGGGACGGCAGCTCCCCAGCAAGGGGAGCAGGTACCAAAGGCCGGTCTCTCCGGATCGGTAAGGAGCGGCGCGCTTTCCCGTTCCAGTATCGCTATTTAGAGAGGTCTGTGCCTCACTCCATTCCCGAGAGACATGGAGACCAAGAATTGCCCCAAGACACAGACACCACTTGCTGCCATGAAGACCAGTCTCCATCCCAAAAAAATCCTCCCAGCCAAGGCACACACCATTCAGTCGTTCTCTTCCAAAGGATAAACTAACTGTCCCGTTGCAAGTAATGCTTGATCCTCAAGAAAAAGGAACTGTGGGAGGACTGGTCAGCCTGCAGAAATGCACTTAATGAGCCTTCAGTTATTCCCTGCCCACTCCTCCCCCTTGAAAGCCCTACCGTAAGAAAACGGTCTCGCTTCCTCGCTTGCATCATAAGTAATTCTGAGCAACCCCAAGGGATCCATCAGCTGTCAGGTTGCCAGAGAAACATGGAGAATATGTAGGCCATAAAAATCAAACTAAAAACCAAGCACCTAATTAGTATGCAAAAATAGAAAATAAAAACTGAACAAGAGCAAAACACTGAACAAAAAGTAAAAATAAACCAGCCCTCATCTGTCCTGAGAGCAAGTCGGAAAGCGGCCTGGAAACGTTTCAGCCGAGGCTCAAGGCTCACAGCCTCTCAGTCCTTTGGGATAGAGCCTGCTACAGTTCAGACACCAAGGAAATTTCAGAAAGCCCCCGCTGGCCCCCCAGCCCCGCCGGCAGGCACGCTTCCAGGGTCCACAACCCAACCCACCGCCCCAACAGCAAGCTGTGTTCAACAGACCAGCTCCTCTGGAGAGGCAGGTACTTGTCCGTGGTGTCACTTCTGTTAAAAGATGGTAAATCTACACCGACAACATATGTGGACATAGGGGTGTAACTACCGGAAAACTTAAATTTCACCAGCACAGACTGCAGATAAGCTCCACGCTGCTCCTACCTGACAGGAGTCTTCTGGGCCCCATTGCAGTGTTTCACAAGGGCCCACCAACAAATTTATTTCTAAGGTCGTTGACAATTGTGATGGCAAAAGTCTCTAAAACTGGCAAGCATAAGAGTTGGGGAGAGCTGAAGACAGACCCTCAAATACTGTACCCATCACCCGTATTATAGACATGCCACGTGTGCCTCTTCAGGCAGAGAACGCATTACTGCCGAGAGTACCGAACCTGCCGTACAATCCGCAGCTTGCAAGACACGATAAAACCACTGAAAAAGTTTCACAATGCAAGTCACTGTGAAAGAAATAATCAGATGAAATTTTAATGCAGCTGCCCCCCAATTCAGCTTTGTAGGTAAATCAACAAACCAAAGACACGAATCCGAGATGTGTAAATACAGTGAGATGTGCAGACAAATCCCTCGGGCACCCGTGGCCCAGGTCAAGCATGGGAATCTGAAAGCGGACGTGAGCCATGCCCTACGTTGGAAATGGACAGTCTGGAGGCAGAAATTGTCAAGTATCACAATCACAAGCAGAAAAGACATCCTATCCAGTCGCCCCTGTTCATCAGCAGGCATTAACTTGCACTTGCTGGCAAAGGACAAGGGACAAAGAGATTGCCTATAGCTGCAGGTAATCTCACCCTGTCAGAAAATCACTCTTAATTTCGTCATACCAGCCATCCTTCTGATCCCCTTCTTTCCTGCACATGGGAAGGGAGAAAAATGACAGGATCTGCAAGAAAAAAGCTGCCTGTACTTGCCAGTGTTGAGGAGGGCGGGAAGAAAAGGCCAGGAGAACATCACTGTTACTCCCAAAGAAAGCAGAGACATCAAAACAACACAACCCGCAGCCCAGCACCCCTGGAGATGCTGCCCACCTTCCTTTCTCTCCAGAAGAGAGAGAGCGACTCCTCACCCCTCACCAAAACCAACGCAGCCCCTCGGGGGCAGACACGTCCCACACAACCCTCTGCTAAATAAGGCGGCACCTCCTGCGGGCAGCCCATTACCAGCTGCTCTAGCTAAGCCTCGCAGCTCGGAGCGGGCTGCAGCAAGAGCCCGGGTCCTGTCCTCCTCTTCCCCAGCTCAACTGGCTGCTTCTGCTGAAGGACAGCAGGCTACAGATGAGAGCGACAGCTCAAATAAGCATTGCTCTAATTCAACATAAGCATTAAAAATAACAAGCAGTACTTTAAAACTGGGATTGCAAATCACAACAGCTACATTTTAAAGCTACAGAGGATACTTTAATGCTATAATCCATATTAATCTGACACTAAGAACAAGACAAATACGCCACGGATACTAATATGGTGCAGATGGTAAAGTCCAGGGCCATGTTAATGAAAGATGAGACTCCACTATTCTTCCCTCTAGCATGCATATACGCTTCCCTTAAATATTTACTCTAGCGTTAACATCAGCAGCGAGTTCCAGCCAGTCTGTAGCTGATGGCAGCATGAAGTGATGTGCTGTTCCATGACAGCAGACAACAGCAAGTGTCCTAACTCCACGGCAAAGCACGCCTCTCATCAGGGTGATTCCAGCCCTGTCCAGATCTCAGAACACCACTCAGCTGCTGCCTGGAGATGCTCATGAAGTCAAGGAGAATCACACGTGAAGGCTCATCCTACAACGTGATGACCAAGCTGTCCCTGGTAGAGGTGAGACACATGCAGAGGAATATCTCAACTCACCCTTTAGGATGTGTCGAACAATTTTAATGGAGCTGCCTCTCATGTTCAGAATCTGATGGACTCTCTGACGAATCTGATGGGGGATAGGAAAGAGAAGAAAGTAATCTTCAATACAATGCAAAACCAGGCATAACCCCACTTTTTCCCCACCTTGAGGGAGGAGCAGAAACCCTGAGCACCACAAAACCCAACTCAGCCTTGCTAGTCCACAGTCCCAGAGCACCTACTCAGAAGCATTCAGGAAGGCATGAGGCACAGGTACCAGTAACCACATACCACATTCCCAAACCCCAATCTATTCACACCAGCAGAGATGCAGTATTTTGCACAGATCTAGAAAAGTCACCTGCTGTAGTCTGTGCTTTTGTGAGACCTTCGGAGAGAATGTCCCCTTCCACTGCTCTCAGCAGTGGCATAAGTAGGGCCTTCCCATTTCCAACCGTGACCTCGCTCATGGCAGATTGTATGAATTCAGTGACAATGATCAGCTTCTGTACCCACTACTGCCCTCCTAACTGCTATAACTTGATGAAGCTGTATGGACACAAGTGCAATAAGCAGGAGGTTTCCTCCCAAAAAAGGAATTAAAGAGAAAATTATTCAATGAGGCAGTATTTGCAAGGATTTAGAGTCTTGTTTGTATCATGGATGGAAACAGATGATCAGCCAACCTTGTATATAGCTTTACCTGGGGAACATTGGCATTACAGATCTCTGCCATGATGTAACAAATGAGCTGTAGAACAAAGAGACCAGCATCCAGGCGACGGAGATAGAATTCGTCTTCCATGTCATCGTCTATTATCTCTCCCCGACGCACCATGTCCTGTAAAGCAACACAAAGAAAACGTGTGATGACTGTCTCTCAAAGTACTTCCCTTTAGCAGAGGCAAAATGTTGGTGATATTTGCGGTTTCTTAAGAAATGCTTTGTTCCCCAAAACGTTAACATCCATGTATTTCTCGCCAAAGAATAAGTACTTTTAATAATTCATTTAAATTCACAAAACATTTCATTCAGTTCTGAACAAGGTTTGCCTTTGCTGGTTGTGAAGTGTGTCCATCTGCAAATTAAATTTTTAAGTTAAACATACAAATTACATTTCTAAATTGAGTGATTAGAGACTGTGAACATGGAACAAACCACTGTATCTATTATTTATATGTTCTTTGTCAAAATGGAACAAAAAACCTGCTCTTTTACTGGCCATTTGAGGGTGCTGTTAAGCAGTGCAGAACATGACTCCAGCAGACTCAAAGACCTATCAGGCTTCCAACTTCCCTACCGACTGATGAATGAGACAACAGGTCCCAAAATTCTGCACAGGCACAGCTTCACCATGCCCAGCCCTGCTCTTCCAGCTTCGGTTGTTAGGAATACTGATGGGCCAAACCCCAGCCGGGCTCTGTCAGCAGAGGACCACTGGCTTCGGCGGGAACGCCGACGGCTTGTTCTTCCTCTGCACATACGGCGTTTCACCAGCGAGACCTGCCCAAGCGGAGGCCAGGGGCAGAAGGCAAGAGGCCATTCCATTCGTCTGTTCAGACAGAACACCCTCTTCAAAACACCGGCAAAAGCAGCCCGGCAACAAGCTCAGAGCAGCCTCCCCCCGAGAAAGGCCGGCCACATCCACCAGCTGAACCTGCCATCCATTTTCATGGAGACCGACAGGCCAAAATAACTGATGTTGTGTGTGACCTTTTGCATTTTGGGGTTTGTTTTTTGGTTTTGTTCTTAAATAAAGGAAGCAGCTTGTCAGACCCTGCTAGCTCGCTGCAGCTTGTGTGATTTATTATGCAGCCGGCTGGCAGGTGGGCACACACCAGCGGAGCAATATTTTCTCATTAGAGCCGTCACCAGCGAGAGCACTGTACCTCTAATGCTCAACAAGAAGTGCCTCCTCGGGGTGCACACGCTCCAGGTAAACACACGCAAGGTCACCAGCACCAAAGCTGATTTAGGCTACCAAATTTCCCTGTTTTGTCAAGCCAAGTCCTCGTATCTAATTGTAGGTAGAGCCTTTCGGGCACAACACGGAAAATTAACCCTGTGCACTTCTCACTGGCGAGAGTGCGATGGATGCTCACCATACAGAAACCTGACGAAGTGACTTAGAAGTACAGCTGTGTACCACTGCCCGCAAAGTGAGAGAGGAAAGCACAGGGAATGAAACACCTCCTCTCCTCCTGCAAATCTAGCTTGCCAGTGAAAGAACAAGTTAAGTTTAAAAAACAATGCCTAGTTACCAATGCCATGAAGTCAATGGCTCCGGCTACACTACAGGATGCTTTAGCACCAGGTCCTGTAGACTCGGCATTTGCACAACTGTCATTTGCTCCAGGTTCTCAAAGTCATGGGCACAGGCATGACTGGGCAAAACTTGCACACAAGCTCTTGCCAGTAAGAAGAAAAATCCAATTTCGTGCAAGGAGTGACTTTCCTCACCCTACGTCCATGCCAAATTGCTTGAATCTGATCAAATTTGGTCTCTAAAGCTAAACAATGCTGAGTCTGGCTAGCAGGAGACTGGAAGCCGTTGACTGAAATATCAAAAAACCCCATTCCAGAAAGACGACAATTCCCGAACTACCGCTTACCCTCCTCACTGCATACAGGCTTATTGGCTACTCTTCTCAACACTGCTAAACTCCTGAACAGAAAAGATACCGACAGGCCAGGATTTTGAATCTCCAGAGCAGGAAACAAAGACCGTGGCTGTTCTGTATTCTGATCCAAGCCGGCGATCACAGAAGCTGAATCCAGGCAACTGCTGCCTTGATTACACAGAGAAGGCAGCAGTTATAACAGCCCCTCTCGACTGAGAAGCAAGATTATTTTGTGCCAGTAAATTAAGCAGATATGAATTAGAATACAAGTACAGTTTTAAGGTGCCTTTTCACTGCTTTTTTTTTTTAAACCACAACCACCCTTTAAATGCTAATCTGCCTCCCAGTACAGTACCAAATAGCCACCTTTCCATTTTGTCTCTCTTTCAAAGCTGTCAAGTTGCTAACCTCCAAATGAGCACTCAGATGCCATTTCTAATCTGCCAACAATATGTACTGAGATGCCCCTTGCTGATGGGAGAAGACAGCAGTAAGATGGGCTTCTGTGAAGCTAAAATGAGCTTCTCTCACACTAATGAGGCAGGACTGACAGGCCTCAGGGTGTCAAGTAGAGACTCGAAACCTAAAGATACAATGGATCTGCCAATGCTATACAAAAGATCACGTCTGCTCCACAGTCACTGGAGTAGGGCCTGAAAGATTCTCCGCATCCTCCTCCTTCCTTACCGACCATCCACCTTCCCCAGCACACGCAGCAAGGCCGGGCGGAGCAGAAGGGATGGGCGCTGATCGAGGACAAAGAACACCTCCAGGATCCTGGTTTTACGTCCTCACCGGGTGGGACAGCGAGGCCACTCCACGTCATCAGAGGCGAAAAGGCTCCGAATGGCCACGCACGAAAACAACCATCGTCACTTGTCTCCTACACCGAGAACAGATTCTCTCCCCTTACTGCTTTCTGCCTGTATTACTGGGGAGGGGCAAGGGATGCAAGCCATGCTCCAGAGGTGCTTTCAGACCACGGGCTAATAGCTAAACTCAAGGTCATCGCTAAGCCCTTCGTCAAGAAGGATACACAGGAGACAGGGACACACTTGCAACAGGAGAGGAGCAAGCAGAAGCCTCGGGTGAAATCAGACCATCATAAGAAGGACTGCCCAGGACCACCTGCTCTCAGCTCACGGCCTGGCAGCGATTTCCCCAGGAACCTCTTTCACACGCAGAGGCTGCAGACCACAACGCCTCTTCAGCAGATCGACCACCGTTCTCCTTGAAACACAGACCGGTTAGGATTGAGCCCTCGGCAGGCCACGGACTCCGCTGCAGCCAGGAGAGCAGGCAGGCATCCAGGTCACACCAAGGCGACCGAGAAGCTCTCAGAACCACACGAGAAACCAGGGAAGGACTTTCTTCATTTCTGCCTTACAAGCAGAAACACGCTTGAATTTCTGTAAGTTGAGCCACCAATCTGCAAGAGCTGAAAAGCTCACTGCGATTGCTACAAAGCTGTCCTGGTTTCAGCTGGGATAGAGTTAATTTTCGTCTTGGTAGCCTGTATGGGGCGGTGTTTTGGGTTAAGGATGAGAACAATGTCGATGATGCACTGATGCTTTGGTTCTTGCTAAGTAGTGCTAAGCGGTTGCTAAATAGGTGCTAAGTGGCGCTCACACTCGTCAAGGACTTTTCAGCTTCCCCTGCTCTGCCAGGGGCACAAGAAGCTGGGAGGGGGCACAGCCGGGGGGGCTGACCCAGACTGGCCCCAGGGCTATTCCATACCATATGACATCATGCTCAGTATATAAGCTGGGGGAAGAAGAAGGAAGGGGGGGA